CTTCCCCCTCCTCCCCACCCCATTTGTACTTGGCACTTCTTTCCCTACAAGATGCAAGGGCCCTTACCTTGCGAGCCTGCCACTGGAAGTCCAGCCCTGTCCTGGCACCTCTAGCCGGCATCCCCCAGAGCAAGCGTCCTGCCAGCTGAGACAAACTGAAGAAACAAACCTGCAAAGCATCTTTTAAAGCAGGGACAAGCAGCAAGGGTGACCAACCAGTGCATTTTTAAGCAGCTTCAAAGAGAGTTTCCACACACGTTCCTCCTGGGGGAACCATTTATTTCACAACCCAGATGCAGCAGCACAAATCAGTGGAGTCTCAGTCCCTGTGCAGAGACTGCTGATCTCAGGTGCCCCCTTAGCCCTGCACCATAGTCCCTTGAGTTGGCAAAGTCTCATGCAACTCTTTAGATGCCTCCTTGTATCATATGAGTCAGGCTTCCTGCTGCACTGATTCAATGATGAAGAACCAGCAAAATTACCTCACTGATAGTAACGGTGTTTTTGGCTGAACTATTCAATACATACATTACATCATACCACACACAGAATGGCAGGTCAGTGATAATTGCAGACCTACTGTGCTGGAACCACTGGTCAGAGCTGCCCACTCCATTTAATAACAAAGCAGGCAGCCCAGATGCAGTTTGCCTCTGCTCCACATGCACAGGCTCATTTCCACCCAGTCAGCCAACCTGAGCAGCAGGACATAACAGTATCTCTCAGTACAGACTCCCAAGTCAGTTAGGACATGACACTTGCTGTAGCAGCCCTCAAGCCAGCAGGCTGCTCCCAGCTCAGCATGAAGGCTGGAGTGCTTTCCACCACACATCCAACTGAAATTAAGAAAAATAACATTTGGGGAGAACACAGGATTGGGAGCCGGGGATCCTGAACGCTGACCCCATCCCACAAGCAGGGGTGATGCAGAGCTGGGATCCCAGGATTCTTTCCATTGCGAAGCTTTGACAGCTGCACACAACCCACTTGCTCAAGAGGACAGAGGAGAGGAGAGGCAGCTGACTTGCACAGTATGAACCACGTTAAGCAGGATGCTTACTGCTCCCTTCATAGCTCGGCACATGCCATTATATGAACCTGTTCCAGGAGGCATTTGTTTTGGAGGATTCCAGCTCTCAAAGCTTTTCCTTGGGTGGAAGGGAAGGAAGGTATTCACAGCTTCCTTCCCAGCCAACCCACAAACCCAATCTTGCCCTTGGGAAATCTTTGATGAGACAGCCCTGCCCCCAGCCCCATTCTTCCTCCTGCTTAGTCTTTTTTTTTTTTTTTTTTTTTAAAAAAAAAA